ACTGGTCACTCTGGGCCAAGGGAACTTGTACAGTAGTAATGAAAATTGCCCCATTCCTGGGCAAGGGAGCAGCAGCCCCACTGCCTTTTCCTGAGGTTTAGAATTTATTGCTTGCATCACCTTCCTTGCTCCTTGCAGTGCTCTTGGCTACCAGCTGATGAGACCCTGTCCATGATGAGTGTTGGGCCAGCCATTTCCATGCACAGATTATCTAACAGATATTAGACCACCCTCCCCTTTGATTTGTTTCTCTCATAACATGAGGTTAAACTAATTTGTGTATTTTTTAAATGCTGCTGAGGAGGTTGGAGGAGCAAGTCTCTGACACAAGTGTGCAGAATGTGACAGTGGCAGTGACAGGGGTTTGGCTGGTCAGTGCTCTCACCCTCACCAGCATGGCAATTCCCGAAAAAATCAAGTCCAAATCTTACCTTTTGAAGTCAACATTTGACTACTTTTGCATTTCTTCTAGGTTGTAGTTAGACAACTCCTAATTCTGTGGGGAAAACCAAGACTGTTTTCAGCTTCACTCTGTTGAAATAACATCAGTGAAATATCAAGTCCTTTATTCATGATGTCATGAGAGATTCTTTAATATGACTATAGCCTGCTGAGGCCAACCTGAGGGCAGCTGCTGTGACTTCCATCCTGCTCAGGATGTCCCACGTGGCATTTTGCACAGTGGGCAGCAGGACACGCTGCGTCCCCGCTCTCAGCCCAAGCCACTGCTCTGGTCACAAGCTCCCCAGCTTCTGTCCCAGGAGCAAATGGTCTCAGTGGAGCTGCTAACCATGGGCTGAACACTGATGAGCCACTGAGGGACCAGCTGATCCCTAACTACATGCCTTGTCGCTTTATTTTTTCATGCCTTGCCATTTGCATCCTCACGGTTTCACTCCTGTAGGACCAATGCAACTCCTGTCCCACGAAGCCTGGTAAGGCCAAATTCTTCCAGAAGTGCTGCTGCACAGATTGTCTTCCCCAGGGTTTCTTTCAGTTTCTTTTGTTCCAAATAGTCCTGTGCCGAGTGCTGCTGTCAGACAGTTCATTAATTTAAGGACACCAGAGCTCAAGCAGATCATTTACAAGTCAGCATGAAGTACAGAGGAAAGGAGGAGACAGTGCTGCTGGCATCTTTGATAAGCAAGATATTCAATAATTTTAATCTCAGTGTAACTGCTATTTCCAAATTATATAATCCCACTCTTGAAAGAGGGTTATTTGAGCAGACTGTCACATTAAATAGACACATTTGTTGCATATGTTAATTGCAGTGGAAAGCTGTTAAGCAAATAAGCTTGTTTCGTCAAAATGTTATTCTTTTAGCAGGTCTGTTCCTTTCATGGATCTCCAATTCACAAGCCATGCTCTTCTAGAATGCACATTTCAGTTTAAGGCAAAGAAATGTGTTCACTGAACTGATCAATTTTTTTATCATGCTGACTTTTGTTCGGATTTTAAGGCGTGCTGTGCCACAGAAGTAAATTCTTTTAAACAGGTTTATTTCTGCTGTAGGATATCAATAGAAAGGGTTGAATTTGTATGTAAAGAAGGGCTAACAGTGTATTTTCTTAACAGATATTAGCATTAATAAATCCTGCAATGTACTGCCTGACACACCACACTCTAATACTATCCATTTACTAAGTTGTCTTTATCACTTCAGGTAAAAAGCAACTGTGTACCATCTGAGCACAGATCATATTTATTGTTACTATTTCTAATGCAATAAAATCCCCTTAACTGCATGTTATTTTTGAATAAAATCTAGAGGGTTGATCATGTATTTCTGAATCACTGAAAATAGGAATATATATTGTATGTTGCTTCTAAACTCACACATTTTAATTTCTTTAGTCAAGCAAAGGAGGGTGAAAAGGAGGAGAAGCCTATGCAAATTGGAATACACACAATCTTCTGACAATCACTTAGTCTGCATCTTTCTGCTGTGAAATCTGGTAACAGCTGGTTTGCTTTACAAGCAAGGTAGGAGCCTCAGCAGTGGAAATAGCAGACTGGAAATGGATTGGTTCTGAAGTGGTCATTGGGCTCTTCAGAGAGGCAAAGGATATCAGATTTGCACGTGTAAAACAAAGTAGCCAGTGGTAATTTTCAAGGGGAAAAGGAAGTCCTTCTAATAACCTCTGATTTTTAAAAGACAAATCTGATCTTCCTAAGCCAAAATTTGCACATTCAAACTCACACCCAAATATTAAAAATAAGTAAGAAATGTGAGCGAACACACACCCTAGGATTCTCCATGGGTTTCAAAAAAATTCAGACGTGCAGCACACATCCAGACATGTAAGAATTTATTGGCATTCTTACCTGTAACAGCTGCCAAAGCATTCCCAATCCACATTCACCAAAGTGTTGTTCCTCCTGTCTCCTCAGCAAGACTCTCTTAGCTCTGGTTTTTGGTAAACTTATGCATCAATGTCATTTCATTTGCTTATCAGGATCTCAGTTACAATCATGCAGTGCTGTCAACCATATCCTGAAGGGACAGGAGTGCTTGAGGTATTCCTGCAATTGCAATTTACAGGGAAAAAAATACTGATGATGCATAAAATCTCAAATGTAATTTAGTCTCTCCAAGAGTAGCCAGGAAGACCATTCTGACAACAGTAACCATTCCACTAATGTCAGCAGCCCTCACTCTCACAGAGAAGAGCTGAGTGAGGCCAGGTCAAATTCATATGATTATTTTTCAGAGCAGAAACACATTTAAAAAAAGCATATGCAAGCAGTTATAATTTCTCCTTTTGACCATTTCCCTGTATTAACAATGTACATTTCCACTTCATGTAAAAGTCAAGATAAACTGAATATAAAGAAACTACCCAAAGCAATCTCCTTTCACTAGCAATCTGCAGGAAAATGGTTTTTTTTAAGTGCCTTTAAATGAACCACATTGAGAAAATAAAGAACATTATCATCTGCAAAAGCTGTGTGCCTGCTAGGCATACAGTACTTGAGTACAGTATTCATAAAAGGGAAGCACAAACCCCCCTGAACAGCTTTAGGGAGTGCTGGAGCCAAGGCAGAGAGAATAAAAATGGGCTGAACTTGCAGGTGAGGAAGACAGAGACTTGGGAAGATACATGAGCTTCAAAACCTCAGCAAGGCACCTTAAGAGGACAGCTCAGTGTGGGTGACCTGTGTGATATCAGACAAGGCATGAAGTGAACTAAGGCACAGTTCTGTTCAGTGAGTCTCTCTGTAGCTGATCTTACCTTAGCTGAAAATCTTATATCAAATTTAACAACCTAAATTGCTAATTCCACTGACATATCATGAGAAGGACTGTGAGATTGTTACCCATACTGAGCACTTTCTGCCTCAGGCTACAGAGCTTCATCTAAGCTCATCTTCTCACAACTCCAGGCCTTTCCACTGCAGCCAAGGATTAGTTTATGCTCCCTTGGTGCCCTGCACTATTACCTTAACCAATCTGGGCACAGGTGCTCATGCTTTGACTGTGGGGTTAAACTAAATGCATCTAGAGGTCTCTTCCCATCCAAATTATCCTGTGATTCCAAGGTGGCTGAACACAGATATTCCAGAAAAAGGGATGGACCAATTGGCTGTTCCTTGCTCAAGGAGAAGTTTCCTCATGAACTAAGCTAGTTATCAATGTATATTGATAATAAGTCATATTATCAACTTATTATCAACTTATATTAAGTGCTCAGATAATGTTTTTATTACACATTGAGAAGGACTCTTCATAATTGGAAGGAAACTAGGAAGAATCTTAACAATAATCAATCATCTAAAATCCCACCAGCAATACTACAGTTTACCAGAGTTCATCAGAAGGTGAAGAGTTATCTGAAAAAACAAAGGAATGTGAATAAGGGATAATGCATCTCCAGATGAGGAAAGATCCCACAATGTTAAAATGTGGAAGAGTATCTGAATATGAATTCCTGGTGAGAGGTACATTTTTATTTATAGGAATAATATGTTGCAAAATCTTCTGTATTCTTCAGAACTTGTTTGCAGAGCAGCATGTGAGGCTCAGGATCATTAAAAGTTTCTGCCAGCACTGGAACATCTCCTATTGAGGCACAAAATATAAATTGGTCTGTGACAGGAGGAGAGGCAGCAGGGAGTGAAACAGACTGCTGGGTTTTTGAGGCTCATAGGTCCTGCAGCCTTCCTCTGTTCTTGATGTGTACCAACTTCCTAAAATTCTTTTCTCCTGTGACTTCTCATTAGGTTAAGCTGTTATTTGTGTTCAGAAATAAAGAAGGAAAACTGAATGACAAAACCACAAAATATTTTATGTTCTTGTGCATACACAGGAGTACAGAGGGTGCCAAGTCCTCTCATCCACCAGCAAGCAGAACTAAAGCTGGGCTGTGACTTTCCTCCAAGATCCCACTTGCACAAACCCTGCCAGCTCTACCTACAAGTAAAAGGCACAATGCTTCTCCACTACAAGAAAGAGCAGAGAAACACAGCTGTATGTGGATAGCAGGGATTTAAGGTCTAAAAATATATGTTAGACAGGTATTTTGGGGATTTTTTTTCTCTCTGCTGCCACAAAAGGTTATTGCTGACAGTTTCATATAAGAAATTACAGTGTGTGTAAGGACACCACACAAAATTGCATCACAGCTATGATGGAAATAAAAACAACTCTTTTTTTTTTTGGTGGAACCCATTACACAGGATTTCAAGTCATGTCAAAAAATATTGGCAGTTTTAGGTTTTTCTATTGCTCAAACTGGTAGAAATCTAGCCAAACTAAAGAAATCAATGTGGAAGTCTGTTCTGAGAGGCACATTTGCATAGTTGATACATATTATACATCCAAACCCCTTAATTTGGCTTCTGTGATAGGTAAAAAAATAGGACATGTGATTAGTGCTGCCTTCCTTGCTTTTTACTGTCAGATCCTCATGTGACTGAATTATTGGATCAAGAGATAACACTCCCTACAACTCCATTGAAAACATCTTCTCCTTGGGAGAACTTCCACTAGATAGAGTGGAAATGAAAATTGTGTGTTGTGGGTCAAGAGAAAATCAATCTGGATGAGCAGTGTTCCCTTTGCAGCCCACAGAACTCTTCTCTGTGGTCTCGAATAAATCACTTATCACCAGGTGTGATAATCCAGCTTCCCACTCCTGCTCACTTTGGGCAAATACAGCACCAACTTGACTTCACCTCAAGGCATTACTGTAATAGAAAATAAGTATTAATATCAATTAATAGTGCTTGGACATGCAAGGCTAACTGTGGCCTGCCTCTGGCTGGCAGGAACAAGTGTTGCAAATTTGCCCACAGGAACTGTAGCTGTGTGAAAGTGCCATAACCACCACACACATTTATTGACAACACAGTCATGCAGCAGCAACCTCATCCCTTTTCCACACTGGTAACTTGCTGTCCCAGGTTTGCAAGCTGATTTATCTTCATGTGTGTTTTGTGTGTTTGAAAAATGGCAAACACTCTGGTATAAAAACACTCTGTTAAAAATATTGGTTTACATCAAACAAAAAACCTCTGAATTCATGCCAGATATAAAGTTGAATTTTTTAATGGAGATATTCATAATTTGTGCATTCAGGTAAAGGCTAAGGACATTCACCTTTTATTGGTGTCTGCAATCAGTATTCACTATATATAAATGGCAAAACCCTGATAAACCTTTATTTATTAGTGAATTGAGATCGAATACAGGCATCTTTTTCAAAGGGCTATATAAAATTGTTGATACTGTCTGCCCTTTTCTCCCTATAAACATTTGTCAATTCACTTGCCGTCTGCTGCTCTGTGTATACACATGCCCAAGCTCATGTTAGCTGAGGTTGCAATACAGCTATGTTAAATAATTTTATCTGATTTGCTGGATGATGGTATTTCTAATGGAAAACAACATGGTAATTTCAGAATGTTACTGATTAGATGAAAATGATATTGCATCAAAGTTACTTCCTTAATTTATTCTGAAAAAAACAAGAAGGATTTCTCTATTAAGATGCTTAATTAAAATCTATCTCTCTCCATACAAAATCTTTACTCCAGGTCCTGTATGTGATGTCTGAAAAGAACAAAGACTGATTAGCATCTTTTACACTCTGCTTTTCTTTTTGTCACTTAGACCTTCATTACAGCCAGTTTTAGTCAGGTTTAGAAGGTCTGAGAGGAAGGGTAAACCTGGCACCTTTCGAAGGAAGAAGACCCACCAGGGAGGCCTCTTCAACCAAGCCTGATCCTTCCCCTATTCTCAAAGATCATAACTGAGGGGTTTGATTCCCTCAGTCCTGAATCTATAAAAATCACATTTCTATAAGCTCTTTTATTGTTACCCACATAGTCAATAGTGTCATTTTCATTCATATCATTCTGTAGGGAAGTAAGAGGAAGTGCACCAGACAGAACAGAGCTATAAATAAAATTGAGCAACCCTCTTCCAAGTGCAGATTCAACAGCATTCTTTTAAAATCCACAGAAGCACAGCTTAGGAATTAGGGGAAGTTTTTCTACTTTCTGAAGTTCTGAGAGTGGCTTTCCTGGGGTGGTCACCCTGATTTTAAGGAATAAAATATGCTTTTGCTTAAAACTGGCTCTATGAGCAGGGTGACGTGGTATGAACACGTTACCTCATGCTTATGAGCAAAGGAACTCAAGAAGCAGAGCATTCTTACATACAAAAGATTCCACTTGGAATTTCTCCTTAATGTGAGAAGTCTAGGTTAAAGATGAAAATCTCACAACAAATGCATTACCATTGTTTTCTCATGGGCTTGCTGAAAAAAACACATGCATGAGGTCCCTGGGCCATTTTGATGGGCTGATAGAATTCTGCAAATACCAGCTTTATGTAAATATTTTTGGAACAAAACTGGCCAACTGATGCTCTGTCAGAGAGACACACAGGCAGCAGCTTTTATCCATGTCTGCAGCAGCCTCAACATCACCCAAACTCAGCCACCTCTGCAGTGGAGGGGAGGTGCCAATGCCTCCAAATACAACAGTCAGGATGGGGGCACCAAACCTTGATTTTTATAGATCTTTTTTTTCTGTTTTCTTCTCTATTTTCTCCATTATATCTTCTGGTTTATATCTAAGTAAGATGTTATCTTGTGTGTAGTGTGAGCGCTGATAACCTTCGGCACAGCTACCCTGGAGAACACTCAGACCTGAGTAATTTGTAGGCTGCACCAGCTGAGTCACAGCCACAGCCTCACAGAGGAAGAGGAGTAAGTTATGCACATCATTGTTCCAAACAGCAGAAATAAAAAAAAATAAGGCAAAAAAGGGTTCCTGCAGTCTGAAGCTCCTGCTGGAGCAGTTCTGTGCTCTTTGGAGCAGTTCTGCACTTCCTGGCCACAAGTGAAAGGCTGAGGAAACACAGATATTTCCAATTCAGCCTGTCAGAGCACTGATACTACAGAAAAACCTTATAAATCAGAGATGGATTCACTTCAGACAGTGTCTTCTTCTTTGGGGATTCTGGTTGTGCCTTCTATTCTGCCTGACTCTCCTGTTCAAAGTGTCACATGCAGATGTTTTGGTTTTGCAGAAAGTGCCAGTGGATATCCCCTGATTGTATCCCCTACCATTTTTAACACAAGGCAGGAAATCACTAGCCAAATCCCCAATATGAACTTTTGTACAGCATTCTAAATGCAAAATTAAGGATTGTAAACCACAGTGCAGACAGATTTGAAATACAGAGATTGTATTCACACCTGTAATAATAATGACTCCCAATAAATACTGCAGAATAAACAGAAATCTTTCCTGGAAAGTATCCTTAGTCTGGAAAAAGAATCACAGCTTGAGCCCACCCCAGAGAGGTGAGCAGAGGATTAAACCCTTCTTAGGCTCCTTCCTTGCTCCACACACACAAACACAACCACTCCTTTGCCAATCCAGCCACCACCTGATCCTTCTTCTCACCACACTGGCAGAGGAGGTGAATAGTTAATGGCAGTGGTAGGTCCAACTATCTCAAAGAGATAATTATGCTGTTACTTGAACCCTGAGTCTATATACTTTTTCTGTGCAACAATCAAATATTAATTCAAGAAACTAGCATGAGTAGCTGCCTAAGGCAATGAGGAATGATGTTCTTATTACCATGTTTCAGGCAAAAAGATTAGGAGAAAGGAATTTGAAGAACATGACTCTGCATATAAGCCCATTTCTGAATGCAGCATCCCACTTTTA